TCCTCCTTACACATTCTCACTTATCTTGTATGCAATATGAGTTTGGCAGCGATCAGTGAAATTCGCTTCACTGTATTACGCTGTACCATGATGATGATGATAATGATGAAGCGTTGTGTCATTGGTCACCGGCTTGACTGGATATCGAATTACATTGAGCATCTCGAACGTTCAAACCCGAAAAAGGGAGTACGACTCGATGAAATGCACGCATCTCTCTAGTGGATTTCAGTTTTCACATGCCGCCTATCCGCCTCGCAGATCAGGCTTCGGTTAACTGAAGATTCCAAATGTGTATCACTCCCCCCCCCTCCGAAGATAATTCACTTGGTTTGGCCTAGGCAATCTGGCAGCATTCTGAACAAAATAAATCATGAACTAATTATTTGTTATGGAGGTCATCATACTGTGATTTGTTTGGTACAAAGCCTGGGCTCAAACAAACCTGTAATATGTATAAAGATGTGATGAACACTTGAACTATATTGTAAACGTTATTCTCTCCAAGACAACTTTCGGAGTGGACCGTTTTGCAGTCTCACAGTTTAGTGGAGCGGAAAATTACCCTGAAGAAACTGCACATGCTAATCAAGGAGAGGGCGCATTTACATCATGCATTGAACTTTCGGTTATGAAATAGGTAAACTTTCGGGTCACGTCAAATGAGATGAGCAGACTCAAAGAGGGAATGCGGCGAATGCATTCCATGCCTTCATTGGAAAATCAAACAATACTGTTCGCCGTGAATCCTATCTTAACATGGCGCAGTACGCGGTAGGAAGGATGCACTTAAAGAAACCACTTACTCCGACGGACATGGCCTTGACCAACTTTTTCTGTCGACTGTGTCCTGTCTCCTCGGCTTCCGCAAGCTGATCTTCATCACTCTCTTCACCGTGGTCTGATTCTTCACTATACATATCTGGCATGGGAAAATCTTCATCTTCATCCACCACTAAAATCACCACGGGATGCAACCAAAGGGCAGGTGATGAGGGGGAAATGAATGAAGTTTTAAGGAGAAAACACAAGGTAGTGCAAAAAAACAGCGATACGCGCTCGTGAGATGAAAAAATGTTTTACTTCTGTGTCTATGAACTAGGAGAAACGGTAGTCACAGTGGGTAAGCAGGTGAATGCGCAATTGGGTGAGGTCAGCACAGAGCACACGTTCACCTGCGCACGATTGCATAACTGACAAAAAAGACAATTTAGCAGAGCAACACACATGCCACCCGGAGGGACCAATATCCAGCAAAACATTTGGAACATGACTGAGTAAAAGTGGACATATTTTCGATGAAATATATATAATTTTTATTCCTTATAAGCTGAAGAATGTGTTGATGAAGTACTATTTAGTTTAGCATTATTTCGTACGAGGCACTTTGTAGTGCACGGTCAAAACAGGGCGGAAAATACCATTTTTTTAAACCGATTTGCCCCCATTTGTAATCACCTTCCTTCTGTTCCGTTCTTGACAGTGTTGCGTTAGTTCGTTAAACAAACCGGTATAAATATATGATAGGAGCTAAAGGATCGCATTCTTGTTCTTCAATGGACAACTTCGAGACGCCGAATTTGTAAACAAATTCCGTGCGGTGAACAACATTTTGTTTCTATTCCTATCCAGAATAGAGCAAGCTCGTAGTGTGCTTGAATTCTGCTTGTGAGGTCCCGGATTCGATCCTCAGCTAGATCGAGTGATTCGCATCGTGAATGAAACTCACTCGGGTCGAAAAGGCTGTACAGTTCTTAACTTTTCAGTTTATACTTCATTAGCCCTACACACAACAAAGTCTACTACGTAACCGTTATAGCTGTTGCTCTTAAGTGGTCTGACACTTGGATGCAATCCTGACTGATTTGAACCCAACTAACCCCGGAATCCTAGTCGTGGGTATTACAGCAAAAGCATACCTGAAGGTAACAGCTGCCAGGTTGTCCGTGTAAGAGAACGGCAGTCGGGTGATGGATTCAGAGTTGTCGGATCGGTCAATCGAGAGAAAAAAATGTGAACAGTATTCTTCGTGCGAGGCAAACAATAACAGCTGGTCGTCCGTAAGCTTAGCTACTAGTCATTTGAAGATGACGGCACTTAAACGTTACGACTTCAAAGGGTCAAATGTGAAACGTTTGCAGTGCGGATATGAGTGATAGTTGTACTCGTGATAAGTTAGCGAAATGAATAAATGCAATATTGTTCGTGTTAAAAAATAAATACACTGCCCAAACATTTTGTTCAGAACATTAAGGTGAGTGCGGGAATGGGACCATGGCAACGTTGTTTTATCAGAAATCGGTTACTAAGGTACAGTATGTTTATGAGTTAATTCCAGTGCTAAGGCTAGAAAAAATTGCAAAACAATGAAAAGGGGAGAGAGCGATGGATGAAGGGAAACAAGAGAGCGAACTCTCGTAGGCAGAACGGGAACGGCATGACGACATGAATATATAAACATTTTGATAACCATCCAAGAGGTGAGCCGACCTTCCAGGATCACACTATGAATGATTCGATGAACAGTCAAATGAGGAATACTTCACTCAACGATTCTGACTCAGAATTGTATACCATTTTTATTTTATTAGGTTGTACAGAACTAGAAAAAACATCGTCCGGATGCATCCAAACTGCTCAGTTCATTGTACGACATTAACCGGACCAAGTCTTCGGTTGCTGAACTACACATTAATTAGATTGGACAACACAATGTACATGCGAAGAACCGAATAGAAGTAACATACTGTTTCGGTTCCATTGAAAGACAGAGAGAAACCTTTTGATGGATAGTTGTATCCACCAAGCTTCTAAACATTCATCGTGTTCAAATTGTNCGAATGATGCCGTCCAGTGTAATCGTGATTCATGGCTACGTACGTAGGAAGTGTCGCACCTTCCAAGTGCAAAGTGCTTGTTCAAGACTGGCAGGAGCCTGTGCCTGCACTCACCCTCTGTGGTGATCAGCTAGAACTAGTCGAGAGCTTTAAGTACCTCGGGAGCTTGATCGCAGCTGGTGGAGGTGTTGGAGAGGAGATTACATCACGATTAGCAAAAGCTAGAGCAGATTTCGCCAACCTGCGACACGTGGCGCCGCCATGACATCCGACCGTCCCTTAAGGGTAGGGTGTACATCACCGCGGTTCGTAGCGTTCTCCCCTACGATTGCGAAACCTGGCTTCTCCGAGCGGAGATGCTAATCGACTTTCTGTATTTGACCACCGATGTCTCCGAAGCATTGCTCGTGTCTGGTGGGAACGCCGGGTGAGTATTGACGAGGTTTATCGTCGTGTGTTGGGTGCGGATAGTCGTTCTCTAACAGAAGTTATCGCTCTACACCGCCTCCGATGACTTGGTCACGTTTTGCGTATACCTGTCCATCAACTACCTTTCCATGCTCCCTTCGAACGTGCTGGGCAAGGCTGGAAGAAACGGCGCGGCGGTCAAACTATGACATGGGCTAGAGGCATGAAAAAGCTGGTTTCAGCTTTGGCTTCGGTTAGGGCCCAAGGGATGAGGATTGTTGTTGGTTAGAGACGCTGAGAGATATGNNTGGAGAGGAGATCACATCACGAATAGAGCGGCTTTCGCCAACCTGCGACACCTGTGTCGCAGCCATGACATCCGACTGTCCCTTTGGGGAAGGGTGTACATTGCCGCGGTCCGTAGTGTTCTGCTTTACGGCTGCGAGATCTGGCCTCTCCGAGCGGAGGATGTTAATCGACTTTCCGCATTCAACCACCGATGCCTTAGAAGCATTGCTCGTATCTGGTGGGAACATCGGGTGAGTAATGGCGAAATTCACCGTCGTGTGCTGGGTACTGATAGTCGTTCTTTAACGGAAGAAATCGTTCTACACCGCCTCCGATGGCTCGGTATTGTTTTGCGTATGCCTACCCATTGACTACCTCGCCGTGCTCTCTTTGGACGTGCCGGGCAAGGCTAGAAGAAGCTTCGCGGTGGTCAGACCATGACGTGGAGTAGAGGTACGAAGAAGTTTGCCTCAGTATTGGCTTCGGTTGGTGCAGCTCACCTTCCAGGCTGGGGCCCAAGGGATGAGGATTGCCGATGGCTAGAGACACTGGGAGATATGGCTCATAATAGATGTCAGTGGCGCGATTGTTGTGCGGTTTGTTTGGCGAAACCCTGTTCCCCATAAAACAAAAAAATCTTCAAAATGCGTACGGTGAAACTCCAAGAAAATTCCTTCATTTATGCACTCGTTCTCCTTGTTATCTTTTTCTCATTTGCATCTAATCCTTCTGTAATCCTCCATAACTTTATTAACATTGTTTTGCATTGGCATCATGCTCGTTCTCAAGCCGGTGTAATATA